TCGCTATAAAAATTTTGTAGATAAAAAAAGTTACAATTAGTGTTTATTTTTAATTTTTTCACATCCTAGATTATATTATTAGTTTCCACTCCCATTTGAAAGAAGAACATAATTAGCCCCGCCCACCCACCCGGTTTTCTTTTTAGTGATTAATTTTATCCGATCTGAATTAAATAAATGATCTTATACTGAACAGAAATAAAATTAGTCGTTACAATGAGAAGAGGGGGTGGCTAATACTTGCTAAGATAAGAGTGATTTTGGCCAATGACATACCTTCCAAGAAAAATGAGGGTGGGTGAGCGGGGCTACTGCTTGCTAAGTTAAGACTGTTTTTGGCAGATAACATATCCTCGAAGAAAATAGAGGGTGGGCGGGCGGGCGTAGTATTTGATAAGATAAGATTGTTTTTGGCACTTTAGGCAGGTTCGACTATTTTCAACCATTTTTTAAAATAAGCTACATATTTTCTTGTAGATTTCGAGATCCAGGCGTCATTTTCGTCTTCGATTCTTCGAAAGTTTCTACCATTCTTCCCCTTCCAATAGCAAATAGTATAACAAAAAATTTACGATTATTACTTTTTTTTCACATCCTAGATTCTATTAGTTTTCACTCCCACTAGATAGAGGAACACAATTAGCCCCGCCCACCCACCCTGACATACTTCCCAAGAAAATAAAGGGCGGGTGGGTGGGGCTTGTATTTTTTAAGATTCATTTCTTCAAAAATTCCTACCGTTTTTCCAAAATCGCTATAAAAATTTTGTAGATAAAAAAAGTTACAATTAGTATTTATTTTTAATTTTTTCACATCCTAGATTCTATTATTAGTTTCCACACCCATTTGAAAGAAGAACATAATTAACCCCGCCCACCCACCCGTTTTTCTTTTTATTGATTAATTTGTTGTTACAATGAGAAGAGGGGGTGGCTAATACTTGCTAAGATAAGAGTGATTTTGGCCAATGACATACCTTCCAAGAAAAATGAGGGTGGGTGGGCGGGGCTACTGCTTGCTAAGTTAAGACTGTTTTTGGCAGATAACATATCCTCGAAGAAAATAGAGGGTGGGTGGGCGGGGCTAGTATTTGATAAGTTAAGATTGTTTTTGGCACTTTAGGCATGTTCGACTATTTTCAACCATTTTTTAAAATAAGATACATATTTTCTTGTAGATTTCGAGATCCAGGCGTCATTTTCGTTTTCGATTCTTCGAAAATTTCTACCATTCTTTCCCTTCCAATAGCAAATAGAGTAACACAACATTTTTCACATCCTAGATTCTATTAGTTTTCACTCCCACTAGATATAGAAACACAATTAGCCCCGCCCACCCACTCTGACATACTTCCCAAGAAAATGGGGGGCGGGTGGGTGGGACTAGTATTTTCTAAGATTCATTTCTTCGAAAATTCCTACCGTTTTTCCAAAATCGCTATAAAAATTTTGTAGATAAAAAAAGTTACAATTAGTGGTTAATTTTTAATTTTTTCACATCCTAGATTCTATTATTAGTTTCCACTCCCATTTGAAAGAAGAACATAATTAGCCCCGCCCACCCACCCGGTTTTCTTTTTAGTGATTAATTTTATCCGATCTGAATTAAATAAATGATCTTATACTGAACAGAAATAAAATTAGTCGTTACAATGAGAAGAGGGGGTGGCTAATACTTGCTAAGATAAGAGTGATTTTGGCCAATGACATACCTTCCAAGAAAAATGAGGGTGGGTGAGCGGGGCTACTGCTTGCTAAGTTAAGACTGTTTTTGGCAGATAACATATCCTCGAAGAAAATAGAGGGTGGGTGGGCGGGCGTAGTATTTGATAAGATAAGATTGTTTTTGGCACTTTAGGCAGGTTCGACTATTTTCAACCATTTTTTAAAATAAGATACATATTTTCTTGTAGATTTCGAGATCCAGGCGTCATTTTCGTCTTCGATTCTTCGAAAATTTCTATCATTCTTCCCCTTCCAGTAGCAGATAGTGTAACAAAAAATTTACTATTATTACTTTTTTTTCACATCCTAGATTCTATTAGTTTCCACTCCCACTAGATAGAGGAACACCTGACCTGACCTGACCTGACCTGACCTGACCTGCCCTGACATACTTCCCAAGAAAATAGAGGGCGGGTTGGTGGGGCTAGTATTTTCTAAGATTCATTTCTTCGAAAATTCCTATCGTTTTTCCAAAATCGCTATAAAAATTTTGTAGATAAAAAAAGTTACAATTAGTGTTTATTTTTAATTTTTTCACATCCTAGATTCTATTATTAGTTTCCACTCCCATTTGAAAGAAGAACATAATTAGCCCCACCCACCCACCCCGTTTTCTTTTTAGTGATTAATTTTATCCGATCTGAATTAAATAAATGATCTTAGACTGAACCGAAATAAAATTAGTCGTTACAATGAGAAGAGGGGGTGGCTAGTACTTGCTAGGATAAGAGTGATTTTGGCCAATGACATACCTTCCAAGAAAAATGAGGGTGGGTGGGCGGGGCTACTGCTTGCTAAGTTAAGACTGTTTTTGGCAAATAACATATCCTCGAAGAAAATAGAGGGTGGGTGGGTGGGGCTAGTATTTGATAAGATATGATTGTTTTTGGCACTTTTGACATTTTCGACCATTTTTCAACGATTTACGAAAATTAGTTGAAGACATTTTGTTATCGATTTCGATATCCAGAAGTCGTTCTTGGCTTCTATTATTAGTTTCCCCTCCCACTCGACAGAAGAACATAATTAACCCCGCCTACCCACCCTGCTTTCTTTTCAGTGATTGATTTTAATCGATCTGAATGAAATGAATGATCTTATACTGAACAGACATACAATTAATCGTTACAATGAGAAGAGGCGGTAGCTAGTACTTGCTAAGATAAGAGTGATTTTCGCCATTGACATACTTTCCAAGAAAAATGAAGGCGGGTGGGCGGGGCTACTACTTGCTAAGATGAGACTGATTTGGCAGATAATATACCTTCTAAGAAAACAGAGGGCGGGTGGGCGGGGCTAGGATTTAACAAGATAAAATTGTTTTTGGCATTTTTGACATTTTTGGCCATTTTCTAACGATTTACGTAAATTAGTTGAAGACATTTTGTTATCGATTTCGATATCCAGAAGTCGTTCTCGGCTTCTATTATTAGTTTCCCCTCCCACTCGACAGAAGAACATATATTTTGTTTTTTTTCTTAATATACGTAGTCATCTTTTCACAACAAGAAACTTAAAACATGTTTTGTGTTGTGTTGTGAAAAGATGACTACCTATATTAAGAAGAAAAAGGCAAAATATAAGCCCCTCCCACCCACCCTTTCTCAATTGTGATGATTTTTTTAATCGATGTGAGTCAAGAGGGCGGAGCGTAACTGCAAAATCCTTATTTCTTTACAAGAAATTACCACGTAAGATATGTTTTTGAGTATCATGTTGTTCAAAGAATACTATGCATACTAAGTAAAATTAAAGTCAGGTTGAAATCGAGACGAGTGGGAGGGGCTTATGTTTTCGCTTTTTTTGGTACTTAATATATGTTTCACATAGCAGTTTCTTGTTGAAACTTAAGGATTTTGCAAATAAGCTCCGCCCCACGGCATACGAGGAGTAAAAAAAATCATCACGATTAAGATCGGGCGGGTGGGCGGGGCTTCTATTTTGTTGAGTAAATTGAATTCGCTGTACATGTCGTCGATACTTTTGTTCTTTTTAATCATACAACTTGTGATGAATTTTTCATTCGTTGTCAGATCGAGGGGCGGAGCTTAATTGCAAAATACATATTTGTCTACAAAAATTTACCATTTTAAACGTGTTTTAAGTTGCTTCTGGTATTTTGTTTCTGAAAGAATCTTAGATGGCCATGATGTTTTATTTTTTAAAGAATCTTTTGGGCCCCTGGTCTTTTTTTTCAAAGAATCTGAAACAATCCCAGGAACAAATTTCTTCTTTATTTAAAAAAAATAAGATAATATATAGTGAACCAAGAGTTATAAGGTTATATGGCCGTCATAAAATCATCCCATTGTGTCGAAGTTAAGTTGTTTACAATAGAAAAGGTTTTAGGGTTGTAAATAACGTGTCCACTGCAAGTCGATCGACTCTTGTGGTTTCGTTCAGGGGCGGCTTTCACTAAATATGAAAATCCACCACTCCACTACTTCTTTACTACCTGGAGCCGCTGAGGGTTCCGAAATAACCACTCGCTTTGAAAGCCGGCCCTGTTAAATATGAGCAAGAAATGTTTAGAAGATGATTTATTGCCAACCGGTAAGCTTAGTGCGAACCACACAAAGGGGGTATTTATTTGCGGTCAACTACTTTTATGATGGCCATATAACCTTATAGCTCTTAGTTCACTATAGCTCCATCCACTGACTGAAAGAATCTTAGAACCTTCTGGTATTCTGTTTTTGGAAGAAACTTGGTTACGGGTATTTTGTTTTTGAATAATCTTGAACCTGGTTTCTTGGATTCTGAGAGTTTAAAAGAAGCTCCTGATGTTTTTAATTTTTAAGTGAATCTGAACAAATCTTGTTGAATTTTGGTGTTTATTTTTGAAAGAATCTTATGAACCACTGGAATTCTTTGTTCTTGAAATAACGTGAAAGAATCTTGAGAGCCAATTTGTATTTTATTTTTTCAGTTTTTGGAAGAATTTAAAATAATCTTGATGTCTTATTTTTGAAATAATCTCAACCATTTTCAAATTGTTTTACAGGCATGTTATAGATGATGGAAATTAATAACTTTGGTGTTAAAATAAAAATCAAATTAAAATTATTGTTCTTTGTGGTATGATTTTCGATTGTTAACGACATCTGAGGTATGCAACCAGTTATTCAGAGGCGTTATATTGCGTGGTATTGCCAAGGATGGCGCTGCGTTAGTCTGTTTAAAATTCAATCCATGCCCTTTCCCTATTTTTCGTACTGTGCAAATAAAACACCAAACTGATTTAAATTATTTATTTTTACATTCAATAAACATACCATAACATTAAATTTTCAAAGACACCAATAACTCGAAAATGTAATTACTCCTAAACGTGCTGAGAAAAAGTCCTAGTTATTCCTTGTGCAAATATAAAACGAAACATCTCGTAACTAAAAAACAACAACAACAGAAATTTCGCCGAAACAAAAATTCCCTCAACAATCATAATCGAAAATTCGTTGTGTGTTGTTTGTGTTTTTGTCATGTGTGTGTGTTCCATATGAAAAAATCTGAAAAGAGCTTAAGTGGATTTTGTTTCTTTTACAACGACGACATTTATTTTACATTTTTTTATTATGCAGAAAGAGACATTTATTTAAGTCAGAACGAACGGGTTTGTGCTTAACTTTAAGGATCGGAACCTCGACTTTTCACCCTCTTAGAATATTGCGGTTACCTATACGACTTAATCATTGTTTTTACATTCCATAAAAATCTCGTTATTTTATAGTTTTATATACAAATTGACTATTTCTTAAATGTTATTAACCTCTCAGTACGAAAAATTATCACAGTTATATAAACATTTACGTGTCGAAAAAGGAGAAAATAATAGAAAAGAAAAAAAAAGGATAAAGTAACTAAATCATAGTAATTTTTATTAATAAAGTATATAACAAAAAACCGATAATTTTTTTAATATAAATACAACATTATTTCTGTAGATCACAAGCTACTTACAAAGGAAAAGCCTAAAGAGGAGATATTATGAAATATCATACAAAATAAAAGTGAAACAATTTCTATCAACACTTCGCAAGTTAAAGCTTTCTTCACTTAAAACTTAACAGATGTCGCAACGTTAACATAACGTAGAATTGCATTTATTTACATAAACAACAAAGAAACCGTCCGGTTGTTTCGTATACAACAGGGTCGTGTGCATCATCCCAAAAAAAAATCGCTTCATTTAAAAATTAATTGAGCTTCAGTAAACAAAACAACAAAACAAAAAACGATTGCGTTGCTGTTTTCACCCTTACAAAACTAACAAAATTAAAATAAATTATATTATTACAAATATTGAGCTATAGTTCCGGAGGCAAGCGTCCATCCCTTTCAATCAACACAAAAAGCCGGCCCGACGGACCCTTGCCCCCCGAAAAGGTCAAATTAAACTATTTTCTGTACAATTTTATTCACAAAAATTGTCTTTTTCGATAATTTTTTTGTGTTTTTTCCTTATTTCCTATTATTAATTTTAAACTCTATCTCAACCACCAAAATATTGCCTCAGAGGTGCTTCCGCACCCCCAATCACAGTCAAATTCATCGAATTTGTTTCTATTCACGCTCAGCTAGCCGACGGCCCGGTGCGGCGGCCTCGCGCGGGGCGCCCCGCCCGTGGGGCGTCCCGCGCTCAGCCCCGCCCAGACCCCGCCCGCGCGCCGCCCTCGCCCGGCCGCGGCGCGCGGGCGGGGCGCCCGGGCCGTAGGGGGCGCTCGAGATCATAGCCGTGGTGGGGGCGACGCGCCCCCTACTTGTCCTTGAGTCCCAGTATGGAATGTTCCATCAGGCTGGAGTTGGGCTGGTGGGCGTAGTTCCGGATCTGGTGCAGCGAGATCAGCTGGTTGGGGAAGCCGTTCGACGGCTGGCTCTTGGGCAGGTCCAGGCTGTTCTGCTTCTGGAAGCTGATGGCGTCGTAGATGTAGGGCCGGTTGGGCGCCAGCTGGTGGTGGTTGAGGTTGAGGTGCCCGGACATGGAGTTGATGGGCGTGAACGCCGAGTTCGTGTTGGACTTGGATATCGACGTGTCGTAGCTGTTGGGCAGGTTGGTGTTGGGCGTGCCGGGAGGGGCGGGCGGGTTCTGGCTGAGCTGCTGCCTGATTATGACGAGGTCCTCGTTCTGTTCGAGGATCTGGCGCGGAATGTCGTTGGGGTAGTCGTGCATGTTCTCGGCACTATCGGGACTCACCTTCGGCCAGTAGGGGTGGTCGAGGCCGCGGTGGTTCAACCCTGAAACAACAAGAAAATCTTTTTTATTCTTCTATTCGACGATTTCGAACGAACTTGATTATATTTACAAACTAATTGAACGAATACGTGCGAAGAAAGATCTCTGTGTAAAAGGTAGGGTCACTTTTTATGTTACTTTTATGTACTTATTTGGAACCAGTGCTCTTTCAGATATAGTAGAATGCACCATTAATTTAAAAGGGGAAGATAAAATCTGACAGTACTTTTGCCATACCCTCTATGTAGAGGTAATCAGAAGAGTTCGTTAAGTACTTTTTAAGATTAAATAACTCAAATGCTTAAAGTTAAAGGAGCTTATTAAGTGAGTAATTTACTTAACAAAATTTCAAATGACGTCATCATTTTTATACACGAGATAAAATAAATTTGAAAAAATCGTAAATTTCGACACTGCTAATTTGATCTGTGATGACGTCATCTTTTTGGGGGGGACAAAATTTGAAAGTAGAAATATACGTACAGTCAGAGCCGGCCATAGGGGGGCTGCCGCGGGTGCACAGCACTCGGGCCCCGTACTCATAGGGGGCCCCGAAAGAGGCTAAACATATAAATAACAAAATTGAAAAAAATTGTCAAAATAGCAACAACAAAATTTTTATAAAATAATGTGGTCATGAAAAGCACAGCTTTAATACAAGATAAGCGTTATTTTATTTTTATGGTGGTAAGAAAAAAATTAAGGCCCCAAAATTTTACTTGCAGCTGGACGAGTTTACAGAGAAGGCCGGCCCTGCGTACAGTGGCAATATTGTGTTCCGAAAACTTAAAAAAAATACCTAAACAAAGACCTTATATTTTAAAGCAAATTTTTGTATAAGGTACGAGACAAAAAATTATCACGGTGCAATTTTTTAAGAATTTTTTATTATCTAGACCTTTGACTAAATAATACACCCAGTAGAAGTTAATCTAGTATACAAAAATGATTTTTTCAGTGATATTTTTGCATCAAATAATTTCTGATCTGTGAAAACTCAATTGTGTCAAGAAATTTTGAGACAAAAAATTATCACGCATCACTTTTTGTATAAAAATCAATTAGAAAAACGTAGTATGCGTAATTGTTGTTTATTTGTATGATATGCACGATATGCAATTGTATGTTAGAACTGATAAAGTGTCGAAATATAATTGGCTGAGCTACAATAATTGTCTTTCGCCATGGGCAAAGAAAACGATTTAACAGAACGTGAAAAAGGACAGATTGAGGCATACTATGACCAAAGTTTGACTTTTGCGGAAATAGGATGAAAGATTGGAAGAGATCGGACCACAATCTCCACGTTTGTAAGAAAGAAATACAGTGAAAATGGACGACAAAATTGTGGAAGAAAAGAAAAACTCACTGCACGTGCCAAAAGATCCATTGTGACTCCGGGTATAAAGGATAAACATGTCGTCTCAAATGATAAAAACGACCCTAGGACTTCCTGTTCACAAAAGAACAGTTTTGCGAACTGGCTAATGACAAAAATGTTAAATATGCCAAATATAAGAAACAACAAATGTTCACAAAAGAACATATTCAAAAACGTCGTGAATGGGCCAGAGAAATGCAGACGAAAAATGAAGAATGGTTCCAGATAGTTTCTTCAGATGAAAAGAAAGTTAATCTTGATGGTCCTGATGGTTTTAGATATTATTGGCACGATTTACGGAAAGAACAAAATTATTTGTCAAAACGAGTTCAAGGAGGTGACAATGTTATGGTCTGGCGTGCCTTTAGTAGCTTAGGAAATAATAACTTAGCATTAATCAAATCGAATGGACTCTCTGAATTACCAAGATGTGTTGGAAATGCACCTCAAACCACCTTTGAACCTATTTCAAGACAGCAAAGTGATTTTTCAGCAAAATAATGCATCGATTCATGTGTCTAATTCATCGAAAACGTGGTTTCAACGACAAAATATAGCTTTGCTATAATAGCCTGCGAAAAGCCTACATCTCAACCCTATTGAGAATGTATGGAGTTCTCTTGTACGAGAGGTTTATAAAGATGGGAAGCAGTACGCAACAGTTAATGAATCGAAAGATGGTATCTTGGGGGCTTGGAAGAATTTGGACGTCAATTACTTCATCCATTTGGTCAATTCTATGAAGCAACGCGTCTACAATCTCATAGAAGCAGGTGGAAAATACATTGGGTATTAAATTAGTTTTCATTTAGTTAGTTAGTTATTTCCCTTTTAAGCGTGATAATAATTTGTCACAATAAGTCTGTTAACAAAATTACATATTTTCAATAAGTTTCGTTCAGTTTGGTGTTTTCTGTGAAAATGTTTTATTAAATTAATTAAAAATGGAATTGCTCAATCAACCAGGTATCTTCACTTTCTTTTAATACATTTAGGCAAAAATTCTGCACCGTGATAATTTTTTGTCTCGTACCTTAGTAATACTGCCAAAAAATTACACTTTAATAATTATACAGGGTGATCAAACAATGATGGATTAGCTCGATGGTGTGTGTCTCTGAAGAACTCGAAAAAAAAAATTGAAAATATTAAACTTCAAATTTAAAGAATTGAGTTCGTAATTCTACTTTGTTTTAACGAACTGCATGTCTACTAAACAATTAAACAATTAATTAGTAGTAATTTCATAATAATTAGCTAGAATGCGATTCACGTTATTTTTTGTTATTGACAGATGTCATGTTTGATATTTTTATCGGAATTTTTGACTGTCAATTAAATTCACATTAAAACATGAGATTACGAAGTTAATTCTTCAATTCCGAAATTTAATATTTTCAAAAATTTGGTTCGAGATTTTTTTCAAGTTCTTCAGAGCCTTCTTAACAAAATTCCATCGAGCTTATCCGTCATCTTTTGATCACCGTGTATAATAAGCATATAAATTTGATGATGTTCTTTGATTATTTTTAGCCTTAAAAAAAAATAAAGTCCCAAAATTTTCCTGGCTACTGTGTTCCGAAAAATTCAAAGAAACTATGTAAACATTATGTAATTCAGGAATTATTGGCCATCCTGTATAAATAATTCCAAAAAATAAAAATATATTACTGGAGTTCGGGATATATTTTTTAAAGCAATTTTTTTTATGAACAATGTGGCCAAAAAATCGCAGCTTTAATAATCATCTACGTATATAGGGTGAGTCATTAAGAGCGCGTTCCGCAATATCTCATTCGGTTCTTTCAGGACTATATTCTAAAATTATTTAACTATACAAAGTGTTCTATTTTTAAGGCGGAACACAACTTAGTTTCTTTAAATGAAACATCCTATATATTTTTACATATTTTGCGACGTTGCCACGTTATTCCAATTTTCTTGAAATTGTTTAGCAATGGAAGGGTTCACAAGAAATCACAGTAGAGTTATTTTTAAAACCTGTGTTACATTTTGTGGCTAAATTAAATTCTAAAACTGTACAATTTTCAAATCTGAATTTTTCAGTTTTTTCAAATAGAACATCCTATATTTTATTTTTGCATATTTTCATATTTTTGTTCTGTTTCTTTTTTGCAGTATTTTCTAAATTTAAAGTAAATCGTTACAGCAATTTTTCACTTTTTTAAGAGAAACATCGACATTTTAGAAGAATGAGGACAAAAATAGAGTATAAAATACAGGGTGTGTTCTGTAGTTTTATTTTTTTTTATTTTTCAGGAATTTCATCTGCCAAAATTAGTTTTATCTTAACAGGTACTAGCCCCGCCCACCCACCCTCTCTCTCCTTAGAGTCATCTACCAAAAAAAGTTATTTACCAAAATCGGTCTTATTTTAGCAGATACTAACCCCGCCTACTTATCTTCTCTTTTCTTAGAGGGTATCTCATTTGCCAAAATCAGTTTTATCTTAGCAGGTACTAGCCCCGCCCACCCGCCCTCTCTTTTCTTACAGGGTATGTTATTTGCCAAAATCAGTATTATCCTGACCAATAGCTGCTAAGATAAAAGCGATTTTGGCAAAGAACATACCTTCCAAGAAAAGAGAGGGTGGGTGGGCGGGGCTAGTAGCTGCTAAGATAAAACTGAACTTAGCAGGTACTAGCAACACCCACCCGTCCACCCGCCCTCTATTTTCTTAGAGGGTATCTCATTTGCCAAAATCAGTTTTATCTTAGCGGGTACTAGCCCCGCCCACCCGCCCTCTCTTTTCTTACAGGTTATGTCATTTGCCAAAATCAGTTTTATCTTAACAGGTATTAGCCCCGCCCACCCGCCCTCTCTTTTCTTACACGGTATGTAATTTGCCAAAATCAGTATTATCCTGGCCAATAGCTGCTAAGATAAAACTGATTTTGGCAAATGATATACCTTCCAAGAAAAGAGAGGGTGGGTGGGCGGGGCTAGTACCTGCCTAGATAAAACTGAATTTAGCAGGTACTAGCCCACCCACCAGTCCACCCGGCCTCTATTTTCTTAAAGGGTATTTCATTTGCCAAAATCAGTTTTATCTTAGCGAGTACTAGCCCCGCCCACCCGCCCTCTCTTTTCTTACACGGTATGTCATTTGCCAAAATCAGTATTATCCTGGCCAATAGCTGCTAAGATAAAACTGATTTTGGCAAATGACATACCTTCCAAGAAAACAGAGGGTGGGTGGGCGGGGTTAGTAGCTGCTAAGATAAAACTGAATTTAGCAAGTACTAGCCCCACCCACCCATCCACCCGCCCTTTATTTTCTTAGAAGGTATGTTATTTGTCAAAATCGATCTTAGATTAGCAGGTACTAACCCTGCCCACGCTCCCTCTATTTTCTTGGCGGGACCTCATTTGCCAAAATCAGTTTTATGTAGGCAGATAGTAGCCCCGCCCACCCACCCTCTCTTTTCTTGGAAGGAAAATTTGATATAGTTGATGCCACAACAAAGCCCGAAAATAACTGGCACCGTCGCATCCGAATTTCAAAAGTGAACTGTGCTTGCAAAGCAAAATATGTACGAATATATAGGATATTTCATTAAAAAACACCAAGTTATGTTATGTTTTGCACCTTAAAAACCGAACACACTGAATAGCTAAAATAATTTTAGATTATGGTCCTCAAAGAACCGTACAACTTTGGTCTTTAAGTTTTTTTCTACCTGTAATAATAATAATAAAGGGTTACCGAGGACCGTGCGCTTAGTGACTCACCTGTATAATGAGTATATAAATATGATGACATTACAAGCGTTCTTTTATTTTTTTAACCTTGTGTTTCCAAAATTTGAAAAAATTGCGTAAACCTTTGTTATAATGGCAACAAATAAAAATATATTATTGTGGCCAAAAAAATCGTAGTTTTAATAATTTTACAGTATGATCAAAATATGACGGATAAGCTAGGTGATAGATTGTTAAGAAGGCTCTGAAGAACTCGACAAAAATGTTTTAAAAAAATCGCTGCACCAGACTTTTAAAAATATTAAACTACAAATTTTGAAAAATTCACTTCGTAATTCTGATTAGGACTGCATGTTAAATGATTATTTATCAGTAATTTAATAATAATTTCTTAGAATACGATCCACAACGACCATGTCATTTTTTACTATTGACAGCTGTCATTTTTGACAATTCTTATCGTAACTTTGGACTGTCCATTAAATTCACCTTAAAACATACCAGAATTACGAAGTTTAATTATTCAACTTTAAAGTTTAATATTTTATGTATTTTCAAGCAAATTTGGTTAATAATTCTCTGTGAAAACGCCATCATTTAATAATAATTTTTGAGGTGACCTCATCGAATCTCTGGAAGGGGCTAATAGGCAAGTTTAGTCGATGTTCTATAACAATTGGATTAAACTTAGAGTGTTACCAAGTTGTAAGAGCATGTCGTGATTCAAATTTCAAGCGAAATGAACTTAGTAGAACTTAGCAAAGGCAAAAAAAAATTCAAACTTGATATATAAGTTTCCTATTTTTATAAAATTATCGTTAGTGTCAAGATACATCGCATCACTGTCTTCAACTCTCAACAATTTGTCATTAAACTGTGCTAGATATAATTAATCGCCGTATCAAGTTTGTATGTAGATTTAGCGGCACGAAAGGACCTATAACTCATCGCTTATCCGTGTGAGCTTAATTTTTCATTCGCGATTTATCCTCGTAAGCTCCACGACCCTTTTCTTTCGGAACAGTGTAATAACCAGTAGAAAAAATAGCTACTCATCGATGCATGACGTTTATATGAAAATTTACCTAGTCCCGGTCCAATCGGCGGTCTCTTGTCGGTCCTCTCCGCGTGCTTCTGCATGTGCTTGCTAAGATACGTCTCCTGCGTGTAGCTCTTCCCACAATACTGACATATATGCGTTTTCAAGTGTTTGCTCTCTTTGTGTTTGGGAATGTGTTCGAGTAAGGACGGCTCGTCGCTGAAGCACTTGTAGCACGAGTTGCACTTGTACGGTTTGTCCGTCTGGTGACACCTCGAATGCGACTGCAAGTTGCTAAGTTGCGAGAAGGCTTTCTGACAACCCGGGTGCCGACACCTAGACAAACGAAACAACGGTAATTCGGCGTCCAGTCGCGTCCTTCGATCGCAGTACTCACTTGTAGGGTTTATCGCCGGTGTGTGTACGAATGTGCTGTTGTAGATGGCTGAGTTGGGTGAACTTCCTTTGGCAGATTTCACAACGGTACGGTTTGATGCCTAAATGGATCCTAGTGTGTTGGGATAAATAGGAACTGTTTGCGAACGCCTTACAACACTGGGAACACTTGTACGGTTTGGCTTCGCGCATGTGAGCCTGGGTGTGAAGTTGCAGCTCGGCCTTCGACCCGAAAACCTGGAAAAAAAAAGACTTTTTGAGCGACCCTGGTACACATAGATTTCGAACGACCCTCGTAGAGAGACGCGTTCGTCGGATGGCGGCACTCGCGCGGAGTGACCTCGACGCCGCTTGCAGAAATTCGGGATTCGCGTGTCATTTGTTCGGCGATTTGCATGGCTACGTTTCACTTTTTGCGCGTTTGATTAACGCCGTCTGTTCACGGAATGGTTTTACTTTCGTCGGCAATAAAGGCGCTGCTTTTTTGGCGAGCGGTCGCGTGCGGAGCGACAGTAAGGGCGATGATCACGTGACCCACGCATTAATTACGCGATTATGGGAAGCCGTTCCGTGATGCGGAGTTTTAAAGTTTGGGGGTATTGTTGTGAAATCGGTTTTGCGGATGACGTTCATGAGGTTTTGCACTTTGTTATAAATTGTTGTCTGTATTTCGTTGTAAAAGTTTATTTTTGTCACTGGTGCTTTCATAAATTGAATTAATGGATGCGGGGGATTTTTTAAAAGTTCTTGTAAAAGATGTTAGATTTTAAATTATCGAATTGTTTCAACTTCCCGAGCGCAAGCAAAGTCCATCGGGCGAGTCGCTAATTTTATGTTTTTTTTTCGACGTTTCATGATCCTAGAGTACGAATAAATATGTCCCTCGTTTCCGTCTGTTTGGATTTTCATTAGACAGATAATCTCCGAAACTACTACACGGATTGTTGTCAAATTTTATATGTGTAATAGAATCATCGTACAGAAATGTTAACCAAATCTTGGCCAATTGTCCCCACCAACAATAGTATGACGTCAATTATTTAAATTTTATAAAATAAGATACTCCTATACATGTGGTTTATGAATCCGAGCTGACACTTTCGCGTGGACATCGACATTTTTGGAAGAAAATCAAGGAAACATTTTCCAATTTAACTTTGAAACTGCAAACCCGAAGTACAAATAAATTTCTTAAATTTTACATAATTACATACTCATGCATATATGGTTCATGAATCCGTGCTGAGTTTTTACCCGAAACGTCCAGATTTTTGAAAAAAAAAAATGAAATTGTATAACATAACATTTTACAAATAACTTGCAAAACTTAGTGGTCTGAAATTATCAACGCTTTAAGGTTATAGGAAGAATTTTTGATTCAACGAATTTTCGATTTTTGGAATTTCCGAATTTTCGACTTTTCAAATTTTTCAATTTTCAAAATTTCGAATTTTCAATATTTCCATTTTTTCAATTTTCAATATTCGAATTTTTATTTATTACTATTATTTTTAATTTCGATTTCTCGATTTTTCAACTTTTCGATTTTAGAATTTCAATTTTTCGTTTTTTTTTTAAATATTTCATTCATTGAATTTTCGAGTTTTCGATTTTCGTTTTATTTCCTTTTCGATTTCTCGATTTTTCGTTCTTCAATTTTTTTAATTCTCGATTGTTCGAATTTTCAATTTTTGATTTTTTGAATTTCCGATTTTTCAGTTTTTTCATTCTTCTCATTTTTTTTACTTTCAAACTTTCTTTTTTTTACTTTTCGATGTTTTTTGATTTCTCTAGCTCTCGATTTTCAATACTCGAATTTCTACTTTTCAATTTTTCGACTTTAGATTTTTCATTTTTTACATTCTTCAGCTTTTAGACTTTTCAATTTTTTTACTTTTCGATTTCTGCAATTTGCAATTTGTCGATTTTTTTTTTACAGGAAAGTTTTTTTATTTTTTCGATTTTCTATTACTTCGTTTTTCCATTTTTCAACTTTTCGATATTTTGTTTTTTTTATATTATATTCTATAATCTTGGATTTTTCGATTATTCGAAATCTCAATTTTTGAATTTTTGATTTTAGAATTTTCGGTTTACCGGTTCTTTGATTTTCGTTTTTTTGGGTGTATGTATTTCATTCGCCGAATTTTCAATTTTTTCTACAGTAGCGGTCATTTCTACGGAACCACTCGATAAAAAGTCAAGTTGGTAGCCCTGTCATCTAGTACTTTACGCCGAACGCGGTTGGTAGCGGTAGTTGACATGGCAATCGAAACTAGCACAACACGAATGTTTCGGTTACCCTCAGCTATGCCGCACTGTATCCCGTGCAGACTGTATGTTCTGTTCATCTATTTATTAAAATAAAATATCTGCATTGACAATGGGGCGATCTAACTTGTCAAATTTTTGACACATATGTTTTCCCCCAGAAACCCGTCAAGGTCACTTACACCAAACAAATTTTGAAAATTTACACTAGGGAGTGGTTCTATAGAAAAGATCGCGACTTTATATTCCAATTTTCATTTTATTTCTTTTCCAACTTCTCGATTTTTCAGTTCAATTTTTAAAATTTTCGATTTTTCGAATTTTCAATTTTTGATTTTTTGAATATCCGATTTTTTAATTTTTTCATTCCTCAAAATTTTTTTACTTTAAAATTTTATTTTTTTTACTTTTCGATTTTCAATTTTTACACTTTTCAGCTTTTAGACTTTTCAATTTTTTTACTTTTCGATTGCTGGAATTTCCAATTTTTCCATTCTAAAGTTTTGTGATTTTTCTATTTTTTTCTACTTTTCGATTTTCTGATTTTTCGTATTTTTTGCAATATTTCATTCATCGAATTTTCGATTTTGTCGATATTCGAATTTTCATTTCATTTCCTTTTCAATTTCTCGATTTTTCAGTTCTTCAATTTTTTAAATTTCGATTTTTCAATTTCCAATTTTTGATTTTTTGAACTAGCGATTTTTCAATTTTTTCATTCTTCTCAATTTTTTTTCATTTCTCGGGCTCTCGATTTTCGATACTCGAATTTCTACTTTTCGATTTTTCAACTTTTATACTCTTCGGCTTTTAGACTTTTCAATTTTTTTATTTTTCGTATTCTTGAATTTCCAATTTTTTCATTCTTAAACTTTTTGATTTTTCTAGTTCTTCGATTTTAAAATTTTCAATTTTTGGATTATTCGAAATTTCGACTTTTTGATATTAGAATTTTCATTTCATTTCCTTTTCGATTTCTCGATTTTTCAGTTCTTCAATTTTTCAAATTTCTATTTTTCGAATTTTCAATTTTATATTTTTTGAATTTTTTCATTCTTCTCAATTTTTTTACTTTTAAATTTTCTTCTTTTTTTACTTTTCGATTTTTTTTTTCATTCCTCGAGCTCTCGATTTTCGATACTCGAATTTATACTTTTCGATTTTTCGGTTTTTGATTTTTCAAATTTTCGATTTTTCAATTTTTACACTCTTCAGCTTTTGGACTTTTAAATTTTTGCTTTTCGTTTGCTCGAATTTTCAATTTTTTCATTTTGTTTTTTGATTTTTCTATTTTTTTACTTTTCGATTTGTCGATATTTTTTGACTTTCCGGAAAATTTCTCAATTTTTTCAATTTTTGATTGTTTCATTTTTTCAATTTTTCCATTTTTCAACTTTTCGTTTTTCTATATTTCGTTTTTTCTATATTTTGATTCTTGGATTTTTTGATTATTCGAAATCTCGATTTATGAATTTTTGATTTTCGAATTTTCGGTTTTCCGATTTAGTTCGGATTTTCGTTTTTTTGAAATATGTCATTTATTGAATTTTCGATTTTTCTATATTCGAATTTTCATTTTATTTTCTTTTCTTTTTGATTTATCGATTTTTCAGTTTTTCAGTTTTTTAAATTTCGATTTTTCGAATTTCCAATTTTATATTTTTTGAATTTTTTCATTCTTCTCAATGCTTTTACTTCCAAATTTTCTTTTTTTTTTACTTTTCGATTTATTTTCATTCCTCGAGCCTTCGATTTTCGATATTCGCATTTCTACTTTTCGATTTTTCGGTTTTTGATTTTTCAATTTTTACACTCTTCAGCTTTTTTAGACTTTTCAATTTCTTTTGCTTTTCGTTTGCTCGAATTTTCAATTTTTCATTTCTGTTTTTTGATTTTTTTATTTTGTTACTTTTCGATTCTCTATATTTCGATTCTTGGATTTTTTGATTTTCGAATTTTCGGTTTTCCGGTTTAGTTTGGATTTTCATTTTTTTGAAACATTTCATTTATTGAATTTTCGATTTCTCGATTTTTCAGTTCTTCAATTTTTTAATTTTTCCATTTTTAAGCTTTTTGATTTTTCTATTTTTTTACTTTTCGATTTGTAGATTTTTTTTTGACTTTTCGGAAGATTTTTCTATTTATTGGATTTTTCCATTTTTCGATGTTGTTATTTACGCTACTGGTTTTTACTTTGTAGAATTTATCACGAAACAAAAATCACAAAATCAAATTTTATAATTTTTTAAGGGAATTGTGTCGAAATAACCAATTTTTTTCACTAGTACGTGTAACACTATTCAACTTCGTGTAATGTTGGTTGCATAAGCGAGTCCCAAATTTAAAACCAATCATAATACTTTGATCGAAAAAATGACATTCTAATAACAACACGTGTATTAATGTAGAATAATTTAAAATTAATAAATATACCAAAAATAGAATTCATTTTCTTATTAAATTAGTCATAAAAATATATAATTTATGACAAAAAGTGGATCATAAATAAAACTTGATTATTACTTAGATGAATAAATTTCCTGTGTTGTGTTACCTGTTGCTACTTTATTTAATTAATTATGTAACAATATAATTTAGACTGTTTAGTAAAGTGTTTTTCACACTTGTGAGAAATAAACAACTTTTCGTGCTCATCGTAGTGTTGTTCAAGTACAAACTTTTGTCTACATACTTCTCGGTAATGAGTTGCCTTACCGCACTTGTAGAGCAGGCTAGATTACCGCACTCATTTATCATCATTAATAAGTTGCACAAATTAACTCCTTTTTTATCTAATTTAAATAATTTTAAACAAGTTCTGAGGTCACACATAAATTTTTGTACGATACACGTGTGCTAACATATTATTACCATACTCGCGTGATAATAGTATATTATAACTCAGCTAATGATTCGTTGTGCAGAAATTTGGCACTCGTATGGTAATAGTACTTTTACCTCACCTA